GAAAAAAAGACATGGCAGCTGTAGGCTTTTTGCAAAAATTATGAGGTTGCTTTGTTCTACTTCTCCAAAGCGCCGCCACTCATGTCCACAAGAGACCCATGGCGGCTTGGGGAGCTACGCCAGGCTGTGGATTGAGGTTGCTGCCAGCAAGGAGCTCCAGGGGCATTTTGAAGCCCGGCGGGGGGCAGGCGGCCACAATGCAAATACACCCACCATGACTGCTTGGGATTACCTGAGCAAATGATTCGATACCTAGAATCATCCAATGAGTTTCCATATTTCTGCAAATTATGCATATCCAAACTAGATCTGTCTAAAAGAGATGATACCGCCGAAACCATCAAAACATCCCCAAACATTGAAACCATTGAAACATCCTCAACCATCGAAACCATTAAAACATCCCTCAACACCATATTAGCATCCCTGGACGCCGTAAAAGAAAGAATAACCAACCTTGAAAAAAAAGACACAACACAAAAACCTGAACATCAAATAGCCACAAACCACATCTCCACCCAACAACCACAATCCAATCCAAAACCCAATCCACAAATAAACGCAACCCAGACAAATATTGATATCCCAATCCTCATCAGAGAAGCTGTTGAGCGTGAACGGAAACGTCCAAACGCCATCTTATTTGGACTAGAAGACAGCATTGTCAATGATGACATCACAACTGTCCGAAACATCATCAGAGATTACCAAGCATCAACCATCTCCGGTGATGAAATACTTGACATTTCCCGCATTGACCGAGAGCTCAAAAATAGAGACGGCTCTGTGGCCCCACGCTTGTGCAGGATCATTTGCAAAAATGAATCAAGCAAACGTAAACTCATTTACACTATAAACTCACTCGCCAAAACCAACACCAGCCACAAAAACCTCCGTTGCCGCCCTGACTTAACCATACAGCAACGTGCCCACTCCCGTGCACTCCGCATCGAACTCAAAACCCGTCTAGACAATGGAGAGAAGGACCTGTACATTGACTACCATGCTGACTGTATCAAAAGTAAGACACGTAACCCAATACCCAACTTTTACCCTCAACCACCACCCTACCTCAACCACCTACCACCACCCACCATCACCCAAAACTACCCACCACCCACCATCACCCAAGACTAGGCACGCACGCCCCCAACTACCTCAATCCCAACTGCTGCCGGACTTAAATGCAAACTACTCAATGCAAGAAGCCTCGTGAATAAAATACCTGAATTTCTCATCCTCTTAAATATGGCTAACTTCGACATTATATTTGTCTGTGAAACATGGCTCAATGCATCTCTCCCCGACTCCATTACCACAGTAAGAGACTATCATGTTTACCGATCAGATCGTGAAAACCGTCGAGGAGGTGGTGTTGCTATATTCTATAAAAAATCCTTACATCTAAAAAATATCCAAGTTACCCAGGAGCTTGCCCTTCCTGAAACCATCATCTGTGAACTATCCTTAAATATCACAATTCGATTCTTACTATGTTACAGAGCACCTGATTATGACATCGAACATGTAAACAAGCTAAATACACTACTAACATGGGCTACATCCTGCCCATACCCTTTTATCTTTCTTGGAGATTTCAATCTACCTCATATTGACTGGACCCTAAATAATTGTACAACTGAAATCATACACACAACCTTCTACAATGCTATTACAAATCTAGGTCTTGAACAACTAGTAACCAACAACACTAGACTGAACAACTGCCTCGATCTCATCTTCTGCAATAGTTTGAATTTAATTTACCGAATACAAACCAAAGAACCCTTTTCCAGTAGTGACCACAATATGATTGACTTTTGCCTCAACATACGTCCACACAAAAATCACCACAATGATGTCATCCCTAATTGTAACTTCAAAAAAGGCAACTATGATCTTATAGATAACGATCTCTCATCCCTCGATTGGCAATCTCTATTCACTGGATGCAATACTGTTGAAGACCATTACAACATATTTTTACTTGAAGTCAAAAGAGTCATCAAACTATATGTTCCAACAACAACTCCAAAAACAAAACAAAAAAGCAGATTACCCATATCAATAAGGAAACTTCAATCCAAAAAGAGATCACTCTGGCGGAAAAACAAATCTGGTCACGTTGCTAATTTCAAAAACCGATACAAAAATTTATGCCACCAGATAAAGACCGAATGCACCAATTACCACATTAAACAAGAGGAAAACCTTCTAAGCACCAATTCCACCCGTGCTTTTTACAATTTTGTAAACAACAAACTAAAAGACTCAA